AACATGCTTAAGCTTGAGCATATTTCTAATAAGATATGCTTATTTCAATACTTTTTTCAAAAATTAATAACACAAATTTTCAAAAAAATTTCTTATATATATATTTTTAAAAAAACGATGTTGTAATAGAAATTATATTGTACAGCAAAATAACAAATTTATCAAGTTTTTGTTCTTTGATAAACGGAAGGAGTATTTCATCACACCAGTACTTACAAACGTTTTGGTCTAACAAAGCATTTGTTTGAAAGTAAACATGAATATCTTTGCTCCATACTAACTTTTTGTCTTTTGAAATGCGTTTTCCTTAACCTTTAAAAATGACAGCTTTGGTTGCTCTCTTTTAACATAATTTAACATTGAATTTGAAGGGAATTTTATCATCGCTTTATTCCAATCGTGTACACGGTTGTGAGTTCCATACATTTTGTGTATCACCTTTGTAACATATTTGCAAGTTTTTTTTACCATTGACAACAAAGAGAGTGAGCTCTGGTCAGCATTGAGCATTTGTTCTGGTTGGTAGCGTCTGGTATTTGTTCTGGTTGGTAGCGTCCCATTTGTTCTGGTTGGTAGCGTCCCATTTGTTCTGGTTGGTAGCGTCCCATTTGTTGTCCTAACTTGGATCTTGAGAACCTGTTTTGATACACTTTTCTCTGTACGTCACTTTTCTCTGTAAGTCACTTTTCTCTGTACGTCGCATGCCATTTCAGTAATGATGGTTCCATTTCTAATGTTTCCTTTTGTACATTTGTTTCGATTTTATTTTTAACTCATTTTTTTTTTTGTAAAAGTTGCACTATTACACGATGTCTTATTTCAAATTTTAAATCAACGTCTAATTGTAATTTTTTAGGTTTACTCCCAAGCCAGGCTAAGTTAACAATGTGTCTATTCAATTTGGCTTGTAAAAACTCCTCGTAAATAACTTCATATAGTTCAATATATTTTGTAGAAAGTCTTCCATTCAGAAAAAATTTGCGGTAGGAGGATGCAGTATCTTCAAAAATAGATTTTTTTAAAGCCTCAAAATCTGACTTTGTGTTACATCAAGCAACTCTACTAAGTTTCTTGATTCGCCTCATTATCATAAGCGTTAATTGATTCAGCTTTAAAGGCAGTAGTATAATGGTGGCGTTTCTTACCAGCTACATTGGAATACCTTTTGCTTTTTTCGTAACTACTAATAACCTTGTTGACTAGATTAGAAATCACATCTTTTACTGCTGCAATGATAAGTTCTTCTTTACTTTGAAACACTTGTGATTCTGAAGTTAAACAATCTTCTTTGCTTATTCCGTGCATAAATATAACATGAAAAGTTAGTCCTTGTCGGCTTTTGAATGATTTTTACAATGTTCGCATTCAACAAGAGTTTCAACAGCGTCCAACGGCAATTGGATTGCAATCTCTTCTCCTCTGCGCATTACCTTTTTAGTAAAACCAAATGCTGCCAGTGTAAGCTGCTTTCTTTTTATTTTTTTCGACATTTTTATTACTATTTTTTACAGTATTTGAATAAAGTTAGAGAGAGAAAGATAGAGAGAGAGAGAGAGAGAGAGAGAGAGAGAGAGAAAGAGAGAGAGAGATGTAACACTTCACAGCACTTTTTTACAAAGTATTTCAACAAACATTTTAAGTTCTTAAGTTTTAAATTAAAGTTTATATTTTGTTATGCGATGACATAATATATAATACAACCTGTATAATTTTTTCATTTATTTATTTAAATGGTTTAAATTAAAAAAAAACATATTAAATTTTTTTTTTAACTATTTAAATGGTTAATTAAGGCTCAACAATATGATCTAATCTCGTTTTTTTATAAAATCTGAGCCTAGCTATGCTTATAAGCGTTATGGTTAAAAAAAAAAACATTATTTAGATTAAAACAAAACAAAGCAAAAAAAAACATAAAAGGAAAAAATATATAATTAGAATCATTAGTATCATTGAATTCATATTAACTTAAACAAAACATATGTTTTAGCACATTTTATCTAATTCTGAAACAAAAAGAAGTTTGAAAAAAAGTGTAAAACAGAATGGAAACAAAAGCCATTTAAAAAAGCTCAAAGAGAAAGCGTAATCAAATCTTGGCTACTCAATGTAATAATTTATAAAAATTTAAATTTATATCAACTATAAAATGTATAACAAAGGTTAAGTTTTGATTTGAATAAGTTATATACTGCAATAGTAATTCAAGTTTTTAAAGAGAATATGACGTCAACTCTGTCAAAAACTCTGATTTAGTAAACCGATAAATATTCACTTAAAATAAAGAATAAATCGATAAATATTCACTTAAAATAAAGAATAAATCGATAAATATTAACTTAAAATAAAGAATAAATCGATAAATATTCACTAAAAATAAAGAATAAATCGATAAATATTAACTTAAAATAAAGAATAAATCGATAAATATTAACTAAAAATAAAAAATAAATCGATAAATATTCACTTAAAATAAAGAATAAATCGATAAATATTAACTAAAAATAAAGAATAAATCGATAAATATTCACTTAAAATAAAGAATAAATCGATAAATATTAACTAAAGATAAAGAATAAATCGATAAATATTCACTTAAAATAAACAATAAATCGATAAATATTCACTTAAAATAAACAATAAATCGATAAAGAACGCGGATACTCAAAGAAGACCATACAGGTCTTGTCACCGAGAACCGCTGTTGAAGAACTTTGAACTTAATTTAGATTTTAGAAAAAACAAAAATAAATAGAAATTTTAAACTTTTCTTTAGTTATGGTCTTTATTGCTTGAATTAAAATACTAATTCTTCTGAATCGCATGACTCAAGCGAAAACAATAATATCATCATATTCTTGATAAACTAATACGATTCGCATCTTACTCGCATCTATACGAACACTGAATCTTCTTACTCAAATGTATCTTACAATTACACTAATCTTAATTGTTTATTAACTAATAAATAAGCGAAAATAATAATAATATGACTGCACTAGGTACATCCAAATGCACTTCAAGTTTGTCCAAAAGATTGTGTAGAGAGTTTAGAAAGTCAAATGATGGTGTCTCAGTGTGTGAAGCCAAAATTATTAAATGTTGGTGCGTTTACGTTTATGCTTCCACCGACATTCACTAAGTTTTGATTCATTAGTTTGATTCAATAGTTGGCAATTATTGAATCAATAAAATCAATTATAGAATCAATAAAAATTTTTCTGGAAAAACAACTATTGCTAATACATAGTTTTTTCTGAAATCCTAATTGTTTAAGATAAAATAGATTATCTTTTGTAAAATATTTAATTATAAACTACACTTTCAAAAAAATTTTAAAACGAAGAACCTAAAGTCTCCTTTAGAAACCCAAGTAGGTGTCATAAAGAACCAACATAAAGCAACTTTTACCTAGTTAAATAACAAAAACAGCATTGAAAATAATTGTTTTTTTATGTAATGAGGACTAGAAATGAATGTTTTACAATTTATTTTCTGATGAGAAACTACGCATAATCGGTCAAAAAGAAAGTAACCAAACTATTTATAATCGGTCAGCAAGAAAGTAATCAAAAACTCTTTGATTAGTAATATTACAACATATATATTCAAAAATGTAGTTCAAAAAGATATCCTTCTACAGATACGGATCTAGCACTTTTTGGTGTTTGCGATACCGGTTTTATATATATATTTTTTTATATATATTAACAAAAAATGACTGACGTATATGCCCATTTTATTCATTATAATAAGTTATAATATTCAATCATATTTTTGAGTCATTTTGTTGTTTGATATAAATTATTATTTTTAAAAGTTCGCAATAATATTCTTTTAACAATTAATGAATTTTTATTTTCTAATTAATGCCATATCCATTAAATATATCGCGTAAAAAGAAGATTTGCAATGTCTCACGTAGTTTGAAAGATCATGTTCAGTAATATGCTAACTGCCGTTCCTCATTCGTTATAAAAAAATTGCTATTACCGATGGTAGTTAACAAAAAAAAAACGATAGCAAGAAAACGGTAACAAGATAACGATAACAAGAAAACGATAACAAGAAAATGATAACAAGAAAACGATAGAGGAATCATAAGGAAAATTATCATAGAAATCTGAAAATTTAATGTTGTTACGTTATCACCATAGTAAACTCTACTTCATCCCGAAAAAAATTTTTAAGTGTATTTAAGAATCATTTACAGATATTTGCTGTCTCATCAACAACATTTATTGCTTCACTGTGGACTATTTTTAAACAATTTAAAGCTAATATTATGGTTATGTTACGGCCTGTTAATGACAATTCACCATGATTTAGGATCGTTCCACGTAGACGGTACAAGTGTTTTCTTATTATTTAAAAAGTTAACGGACTTTTATCGATTTAAATGATATTTCTGTATAGCATCTTTCACCAATGAGTTTTAAAATATGATATATATTTTTTTCATGATAAAATTTTGAATTGAGGCACGGATTTATCAACAGGAAACTGGTTTAACAGTTTCCTGTTGATAAACCCGTACCGCTAAGAGTAAGAATCCACACCATATTTAAAATATTTTATTGGTAAAATAAAAAATATATTTCTTAAAAAAAAGACGTGTATACTCCACTAATTTATTTTAACAAATACTCTGTAACAATCAAATACTTGTAAAATTATTTTGAGCATTATATTATAATAATCTAATAGTTTAAATGATAATATTATTTTATTTTTTAAATAAATAAATAATTTTTTAAAAGATTAAACTTTTACATTGTTTTTTAAAGAATAAAGAAACAGTTGCTTATTTTAATAAAGTATTTCAATCAAATTAACATTTTTAATTTCAAATTTAAATTTAATTTTAATTTCCAATTTAAACTATTTTAAAACTTATTATCTAAAAAGCGTAATGAGTAAAGTAATTGTTCTTTCCAGAACCTGAAAAATTATCTCCGAAATATTAGCTCCAGAAAAACTTTATCTACAAAAAACTGTAATTTTATCAGATATTATAATTTAATTAGATATGATAAAACATATGAAAATTGTTGGTATTATAATCTTTCTTTATATCTGAGGAGTTTTTGTTGTTATCTCCAGAGTCCTTCTTGATCTTCGTCCTCGTTAGATTTACGATCCAGTAAATCCAAAATTGAGTTATTTTCATCTTCGGACACCTCTTCTTCTTCATATTCTTTTGTTTTATCGGTTTCTGTTTGCTTAAAATTTCTGTTTTCCAAAAGTAAGGATTTTTGGTTGCCCCTTTTTGAAAGAACTGGTTGTTTTACAATTTTTGATTTTGATTCTGCATGGCGCTCATCCTCATTTTGAATTTTTAAATTTTTGTATTGTTTTTTCCAAAGCACTTCTTCTGGTTGTTTCTTCCATAGCACTGCTTCCGGTTGTTTCTTCCATAGCACTGCTTCCGGTTGTCTTTTCAATGGCTCAGTTTCAACATAATTTATGCTAGTTTTTCTCCAAAGACCAGTTTCGGGGTGTTGACGTTTAACATTTTCTTTTTTCCAAAGTCCAGTTTCTGGTGGTTCCGGTTCTCTGCGATTTTCGCTGGCTTCCTTATCCAATCCAATCTCGTCCAAAAACTTTGCAAGTTCTTTTTCAGACGCTGTGTTTATTTCTTTATTAACCATTCGCGTAGATAGGACAACTGGTGACATTATGAGTAGAAATGTTGTAAACAATTGAAATGTCATTTTGCTTACTAAAATTCAGATAATTGTAATAAATCAAAATAAATTTAATAATAAATAAATTTTCCCAATCAACTAATAGCTTTCATAAAAAAAAAAAAAATTAAAAAAAAAAAAAAATTAAGAAATTAAAAAAAAAAGTTCAATTAGTCTTACAACTTTCTCTTATTACACCTACTATCTCTCTCTTGCAATCTCTTGGGTATAATAAAAATTGATCACAATCTAAGAAAAGTCGACCTTTGTATGAGACGTTTTTAATAGAAAGCCAACTGTTCGATATGAAAGTTATTAAAAGAGAATATTTAAGTGAGTAATTCGATTGTTTTAAACATTATTTTCAATTACGTCTTTTATGTGTTGAAAAACATGAGGAAAAAATGTAAACACATTTAAATTTTTTTTTTTTTTTTTTTATAAAACTGCCCACTTGACAAATCAGTTATGTTAATTATTTAAGATATTTGAAAAGCATGCAATTGAAATATAAAAACAAACAGCTTTCAGTTCAACCCAAGTAAAAATATTTTTAGCAAAATGCAAATGCGAATGCATTAAAAAAAAATAATTCATTTTAATTTTTTTGCTTTTTATACTTATTATTATGTTTACACGAGAATATTTTTATAATTAAACATTTTATTATAAATATATTTGTTAATATTATAGTGTGCGCAAGTGTTTATGCATGATGTTTTTAACATGATGTTTTTAAATAAAAAAATACCAAAATTAGAATTGTTCGAAATCCCAAATTTTTACTTTACAAAACAACAGCTTTTTAAAGTCTAGTTTATTACTGAAACTGACGCCCAATTGAAAATTAGGCGTCAGTTAATAATCAGCCACATGTCTAATAAAGGATTGAAGACCCTCGTGTTACTATCAGCCTGGTCCTTTTCCGCAGATATGTATGACAAATTCTTTATTTAACTAATTTTTGAAAAAAGCAAACAATTTTATATGAGTAAAAATATCAAAAGTAAGTAATAAGGAAAATGATCTGTTTTATTTTTATTTTTAAATATATTCCAAAATTTAACGAGAATTTTGAAAGAAAATTCTTTCTTAATCATATCAAAGTTAATAATCATAATAATAAAATTAAAATTAAAAAAAGCCATTTCAAGTCGTTCAACTTGAAATGGCTACAGCTTCATCGACGCGTTGGAGCCAAAAAACACTATCTTTGTTGGAACATTTCAAATTTCAGTTGATAAACTAGATAAATAAAACAAATAAACAATTACCACAGCACCAATATAAATCAGAATTAACACTGTAACTGAATGCAAAATAAAAAATCTTAAAAACTCAAAAAAAAAACTTTAAAGAACTTAAAAACTACTTTATGTTGATTAGGGCCGTCCCGAAGAGAACTTTATGTTGATTAGGGCCGTCCCGAAGGTCCCGAAGAGATCTTCCATGGGGAGGGGGTGTTGAATGTATTTTTTTCCAACTAGAGACGCAAGAAAAAAAAAAAAGGTCCTCAATATATACAATTTGCCAACTATACTTCAAAACTTGCTCAATGTGCCAACTCAAATGCTTATATAACAGCTTGAGAGGATGGGGGGGACACTCCCTACACCCCCCGTTCGGGACAGCTCTGATATTGATATACAATTATTGCTTGTATAAAAATTTTGTATAAAATTATTCTTATATAAAATATACGAATATTGCTTTGGGAAGTCCAAGAAAAAGTAAATGCGGTTTATTACCGCCGTTTTTTTTGTTCTTGTCAGATAAGAACAAAAAAAAAAGGAAGATAAGTTATAATCATTGTTGCCAAAAACACTCTAGCGCTTTATACTTTTTGAAAATTATTTCTTCGTTTCGAAGTTATTATTTAAAAATATGAAAGTTTTCACCCAATTAATGCCGACACATTTTATTCTACTTTTTTTTTTTTATAAAATCAAGTATTGTTATATTAAAAACTACCCTATCAATTTTTAGGAGCACAGATGACTCCATTTTCAAATTACAAGTAAATATCTATCTTGTTTTGTTTTGAAAAGTAACGTGAAACTTATAGTGTAAAACAAAATCCGCAATCATATAACTAAGAACGATTTGTTGCATAAGTAACAATATGACTTCAAAAAAAAAAAAAAAACAACAAGAAACGAAGACGAAGAGGAAGTAATTAAATTAATGCATATTTAATGCCTCAATACCAATGGCTCACTAATGACTTAATGGTGTCATTAACTAATGTCCATTTTATAATTTTTCATTGATCTGTCAAAAGTCTTTTATATATGTTATATTAAATACTTTCGAACATTATGAAAAGAAAAACTTGGTTAAAAGTTGTGTAACTAATAAAAAGCAACTTATTTACTGGGTTAATAAAAAGAAAAAGGAGTTAACCAAAAACAACTTGTGAAAACTTTATTTTAGGACTATTTTTGGTAGTGCCGTTAATAGGGAAGTGTAGCTCCCCATACCAAAATATTATTCAAAAATTAGCCGGGAAAAAAAATACAAGTAGTTGACCAAAAAATATCTTGTGAGATTTTTTAGAACTATTATTGTTCCAAATTGAATTTAATTACTGACTTTTTATAATTTTATGACTGTTACGTTTTTATAAAATTTCTTTTTTTTTCTATACGTTTTATATAATTGTTAGCTTTTCAATTAAGTATGAAGTATAAGTTTATATACTTGTATACATTAGGGGTAAAAAAATAAAATTTTCAAAACGCGAATACAAAAAAAGCCAAATTTGGAGAAAATATATAAAAATACGATTACAAAAAAAAATTCTAAAAATATTGACACCTACTGTGTGATCAAGCGATAAAATACCCGGAAAAATGCCCCGAAATGTGCTTAAATTATTTGGCTTTGATTTATTTTGAAATTACTTGATTTATTTTGAAAATTTACTTTGCAAGCTAAATCAATATTTTGTAAAATTTTTTTTTCTTATGCGATCTTAATAGTCTAAATTTTTTTTTTTAGATTGTTGTGTATCCTGGTTTTTACATGATTGTAGTTAAAATTAAAAATATATTTTGCATAATTTATGCAAAAAACATCATTTATTAGCGTAATCGCGCAAAATTCTTTTTTTGCGTAATTGTGCAAGAATATTTTCTTGCGAAATCTTTTTTTAATTTAAACAACAATTAGGATACAGAACAATCTAAAAAAAACTTCAGACCATTATTATCACATTAGAAAAAAAAAAATTTTAAAGGAGAATTTTAATTTCTTTTTTAAAATATTGAAATTTCCTTTGCGCTCAAAGCCAAAAAATAATTTAGGAACAACTTAGGGCATTTTACGAGGTATTTTGCCGCTTGAGCTTGTGCTCGCAAGGTAAATGTCAATATTTTTGTATTTTTTTTTTTTGTAATTGTATTTTTTTAATATTTTCCCCAAACTTGGCTTCTTGTGTATACGCATTTTGAAAATTTAATTTTTTTGAACACCTCAAGTATACATATAACAAGATATTTGTAAGAAGATTTTTAATTTTTTCTTTATGTTAACCTCAATAAAAGTAAAATCATCAATGTCTGTAGTTTATTTTATTGATTTATATACATTGTTTTTTTTTGTTTTTTTTGTTTTTTTTATTTGCATTCACTCCCAACAAGGCTGCAAGCAACCACTATTAAGTTGGGAGTTACTAGGAGAAAAAAAAGAACAGAGTTATAGAGCAAGGAAACGGTTGACAGAAGACTTAAAAAATTGAAGGTTGTATGAGTCAGGAAAACATGAAGATGGGAGAGAGTTCCAAAGGATTGAAGTGCGGGGAAAAAAACTAGATGAATAAAAGTTTTTAGAGCATGCAGGGACAGATACAGAAAACGAATGAGACTTAGCTGAATGACGAGTAAAACGAGAATGAATTTTAGTTGATGGAACTAGAGATGATAACTCCTTTGAGCAGTGACCATGATAGTATCTGTAGAAAAGAGAAAGAGATGCAACTTTACGACGATGGGAAAGAGGTTCAAGCTTAGCAGATAGTCCAGGTCCAACAACATTTACAATGCGTTTTTGGACCTTGTCAAGAAGAGAGAGTGAATCGTTAGAAGAACCAGCCCAAATATGACAACAGTATTCCATACAGGGACGAATAAGAGATTTGTAGAGGTAGAGAATGGAATCAGAAGTAAGGAAATGGCGAGCACGATAAAGAGAAGCAACCTTAGCAGAAGCTAATTTAGCAATCGATTGTATATATGGTTTCCATGAAAGGTCAGTAGTAAGCGATAATCCAAGAAGACGTAAAGAGGACGACTCAGTAAGAGGATTGCCATTCATTAATATAGGAATGTTGACCATATTACGGTAGTTGTTTGCAGTAAGCAATTGGGTTTTTTTAGAGTTGAAATTCACAAGCCACTGTGAACCCCAATCTATTACTGAAGTAAGATCAGATTCAAGATCAGCTGCTTGTTCTAGGCGATCGAAAAGAGAAGACTTTTTGTCAAGACAGGAGTATAAAGTTGAGTCATCAGCAAAAAGAGCTACTTTAGATGAAAGGTTGTCAGGAAGATCGTTTGTGTAGATAAGAAACAAAACAGGGCCCAGGATGGAACCTTGGGGAACCCCAGAAGTTACTGGAAATAAAGAAGAGTGTTGGCCTTCAAGGATGACTTTAATAAACCGGTCAGAAAGAAATGATTTGATAATCTCAAAAACTTTCCCAGAAACACCATATGAAGCAAGCTTATGGAGAAGACCAGCATGCCAAACTTTGTCGAAAGCTTTAGATATGTCGAGAGCAATAGCCCTAGCCTCACCGCCTCCATCTAATGCACGATAAAATCTTTCAGTTACAGCAGTTAGCAAGTCGGCCGTAGAGCGAGAGGATCGAAAACCGTATTGATTGTCTGACAGCAGTTTATTTGACTCAAGATGAGATGTGAGGAATTTGTTGATTAAAGACTCAAAGATCTTGCTAATAACAGAAAGAAGACTGATCGGACGATAATTGGAGGGGTCAGAATTTTCTCCAGCGTTTTTGAATATTGGAACCACAGATGCCATTTTCCAAAAAGCAGGAAAACAAGACTCAGTCAAACACTTGTTAAATAGTTTAGAGAGAATTGAAGAAAGTTCTGGAGAACAATTCTGCAAGACTGTGACAGGAATGTTGTCTGGACCACAAGCTGTAGACAAGTTTAATTGAGATATGACTTTAGCAACAGAAGCCGGAGTGATTTGAATGTCTAACAATGGGTCAACCTGTTTGACTGGAATGGAAGGAAGAGAATGTCCATAAGATTCAAGAGTGGAATTAGAAGAAAAGTTCTTTGCAAACAGTTCTGTCTTATCCCTGGGAGAGGTAACAAGATAGTCCCATGAATGAGAGATGGAATGTTAGATCT